GTGACGTCATCAAAATAAAAAAATTTATTTCTAGATTTTTTGATGTTCTATCAGACCTAAAAATAGTGGAAAAGAAACCTAAGAATAACAAGAAGGTCTTCCGCTGAAGACAGAAGACCTTAATAATAAAAAGAAACAGTAGAATCACTATAAGGTCTTCCGTCTGAAACGGAAGACCTTAATAATGGCGAATTACCTGCATGTAATGAATTATTGTACATTTTGATATGATAAAATGAATGCATTTAATTTTATAAGAGTTTTAAGTGTTCAATGCAACTTTTACACATGTTTTTAACAATGGTAAATGCTGATAGTTGATAAATTCTAAAACATGTACGTAACTATACTTAAGTTGACATGTGATGGAATGAAACATATGGAGATAAGGAACAGTATTCAAGATCAAAAGTCCATTAAACAATACAAAAAAGGAGCAGAGCAAACACGGATCTCCAAAACATCAGAAGTGGGATCAGGTGCCATGGAGGAGTGAGCATCCCCTGCCGACCGGTCACACACGTCGTGTGCTCCTTGTCATGATCGGGAAATAACGAAAAAATCCGTCGTCAATTCAGTACAATGAGCTAACAATGAGTATAATACAGTCAGCATTTGACTCAATGATAAATTGAATTTGCTGACAAGGTCATTGTATCGACCAATGAACTTACGAAATGATGACTTTAAACGAGACTGATAATATTTTTGTTTCATCATTTTGTTTGTCAAAAATTTACCTCGTTTTAGAAATTGTTCATACGAAGAGCATTCAAAAATCTACTGAGATATATAAACTCTGTATGCAGGTGATGAATGTATAGTGACGAAAATAACTCTTCAAACGGACAGATCTCCAAAATCTTTAAACAAAACTTTGGATTAGAACATTATATTGATAAGTTACATGTATCTCCTAAATTTAGAAAAATATTTCATAACATTTCGTACTGCAAATCATCATTTATTACATTTTTACCCGTGAAATACTGTAATTTATTCATTGAATAAAAATGATATCCTGTCACAGTGTGAAAGGATATCAAAATGATATCCTGTCACAGTGTGACGAATGTCAAAAATGCGGGAAAACTCTCGATTTCCTTTCTCATAACGAAGATTGCTGTAAAAATATCTTCCTTGACCTAATATAAGATAGATGGAAATAAATAAACCATTCTGACAGCGAATAAAACTGTCAAAATTACCTAAAATATGTTGTCAAATTCATGTTTACAGTGTTTTCACCTCACTTAGGTATGACGTCTCAACCGCTCAACTATGACGTCACGAGTCCATGATTGTATTACAAAAAAGACAGAGGCAAAGGAAAAATCTAAGATTTTTTTTTAAAAATGTAATAAACAGAAAATTCAATGTTTTGTAGTTGAATATGGAATTTATTTCACTCGTGGGACAGGATTTTTGATATTTTCACGAGTGCTTCGCACTCGTGAAAATATCAAAAATCCTGTCCCACTCGTGAAATAAATTCCATATTCAACTACAAAACATTGAATATCCTCTATTTATTAGTAGAGACTGGAAGATGGTATGGTATACCGCTGTGTGATCGACAATGTAAACTTTGTAACAGTACTCAAACTGCTGATAAATTTCATTATTTATTAGAATGTAAAACTTTAGCTAATATTAGAAAAAAATTATCTGGGTTATTATTATTCACACAGACCAAATGTTTTCAAATTTATGAAACTAATGTCAACCAAAAGCGAGAAAATGTTGAAACAGTTAAAATATGCATGTTCATTCATTGTGTCTCTCCTCCTTGATATATTTTCCCTCTCATTTTATCGATCTCTTTCCCATTTTGTTCATATGTCATCCTTTTATTACATAGAAATTATGTACCTCTGACCAGTTTGTATAACTATATAATGTATACGAGGGCTGTTCCATAAATAACGTCCTCGGTGCTCAGAAAAAAGCAAAAGACGTTTTTCAATGATTTAGTCTTAATAATATAACTTAATATTCTCTTTCAATTAAAAGCCATGTCGATAATATTTTTATCCAACTTCTGATTGTTTTTAGAACTCATTTTGGGTATGACCCTCAGTACACTGGAAATTGGAAGATCTAATGATTTCCTGGACTAGTTTCTTCGTTCTGAAAGGTGTTTTTTCAAGTTTGGAAAATGAAACAAGTCAAAAGGCGAAAGATCTGGCGAATATTGTTAGTGTAAAAAAAATCACTTTCTGTTTATCCCAAAAACTCCTTTACTCTTCATGGCGTGTGGGTTTGGACGCTGCCATGGAGAAATTTAATGTAGTGTATTCCTCATTCTGGTTCCTTCCTCTCATTAACCTTTCGATTTTTTTGCAAAAAAAATTGCTTTCTAGACTCTTCCAGAAATTAAACTGCCTCCCCGAACACGAATTTTAACAACAAGACCACTAATATTTAAGAAAATTGCATATAAAATTGTCTTTGTGCTCTTGCAATTCTTTGCTCTTCTCAGACCTTAGCTGTTTTTGTCAAGTACATCTTATCGTAAATTTTGTTTCAAGGCTTTTAAGCAATAGATTCAAGTTTCATTATCTGTTTGAATTTCAAACAAACTTGGAAAACTACAATTTTTCATATTCTAAAGTAATTGTTTAGATATTCTTACACGCTGTCGTTTTCACTCATTTTTTTCAAAACATAGGGTGACCTTTGAGTACTAAGCTTTTTTACTATCAAACGTGTCTTTAAAACATTGTGAACTACTCCCGAAATAATGTCTATCGAAATTGCTATGTGTCTTAATGTTAATCACACATCATCAGTGAATATTTGTTGAAAATTGGCAAACAGTACATGAGTTGTTATAATTGTTGATGGCAAGGACGGTACCCATTTTTGATGCCTATTATATAATTTTTCATCATTGAAATCCACCTGCTCATTTGTCTGTAAAACAGACATTGGTTGCCGTAAATGTTACATATTTCAGTGAATAATTCTTTGGGATTCTTAACGAGTTTTACAGCAGCTTAAATGAAGCGTTTAATTTCACTCTAGTTTACTGATTCTTTTCCATTCATTTTACATGCAGTGTCTCGAATAGCCCTTGTTTTCCAGCTTCTCACAATGAAACTATGTGCTGAAAAGTGGTTACATAAATTGTTATAAATTCATTAAAGATTCAATAATGCGAAAAAGTCAAGCTAAATGTCATTTGATATCTGTATTGTATGTCATACAGTTCAGGACACTATTTATTGAACAGCCCTCGTATATGTTATTTGAACCCCATGTACCAATCTTGGTTTGGGTAAATAATTTAATAGAAATGAACTTGAACTTGCATAAGTAAGGGAAGTTTACGATAGAAAAGTTAAAATCATCACTTTTTTCATTAAGCTCCCCGTAGGTTGTTAGATTACCATTAACGTCTTTTTCAAGTAAAATATCCAAATATGAAACAGATGTGTCAGACTTTGTGGTATCTTTTATCTCAAATTCACCAGGATATATCGTATCGACATAAGAACGGAAATTACCATGATTGCTAATTGACAATATCGTCGATATATCTAAATGTCGAGTTGAAGGCCATAGCAAATGATTTCTCCCATTCAGACATAAAATTTGCCCAAATTCTGCTTTAAATTAATACAAAAATATGTCTGCTAATAAGGGAGTGCAATCGGTACCCATGGGGATTCCAATAGATTGTTGGAAAACCTGGTCTCCAAAAACCACATAGAAATTGTTAATAAGAAACTCAAGCATCTTTTTGATTTCAACTTCAGAGTACTTGTGTGTGCAATCAGAATGTGTTTTAACAAAATAATTTTGCAAATGACCAGTGACCAGGTAAGTAAATTTACGAGTTTCATTTTTATTGAAAAAGCAGCTGTCAATGATATCAAAAAGCCTGGACTTTAATTTATCGGGGAATGGTTGTGTTTAAAGTTGAAAAGTCGTAAGATTTTAAGCTGTAGAAAAAATTGTGTGATTTCAAATTGTCCAAAGGTTCTTTGGAATTTTTGAGTATCCACATCTGATTCAAACCACTTCTTGTATAATATTGCTGCACTTTATTCTTGAAGTGTCTCCTTCACTACTGTTAATATCTTAGTGAGGAGTAAAGAGAGAGGCTTGGTTGAACATTTACTTGAACCCTCGCTGTATCTTTGTAAGGATTCTTATGAAGTTTCGGAATTCAATATATATATACATGTATATGATTTGGTTCTTTGAATATTAAAAATATTCAAAACTGACATGATTTTGAAGAATTTCTTCCTTAGAAAGGGAACTATGAGAATAAGTTGGATTACCACTTGTAGAATTAAATCCAAGTTCCTCTAAAATGCAATTTATATAATGAGCTTACAAACAAAGACAATGTTGTTACCTGCTATTTTCACAGGGACCAGTACGTACTGATCATGTAATCTATCTAGTTCTTTTTTCATTTCTGTATCATTGAATACAGAAGGGTAAATGGTTTTCACATTGTCCCTCAATCTTTTAATACGCGATGTCAACATGGATCTGATACATTTAATCCATTCTGAGAAAGTGTCAACGTCTTCTTTTTCATATCTGTCCCATCGAATGGCGTAATCTTCAACGGAATCCATATTTCTGAAATTCCGACGCCATTTGAAGGATCAGGTTTCCCTATATTGAGGACCTTTTAAAATAAGTGATCTAAGATCCTCATTATTAACTATATTTACGTCACCAGTTATAACGTGCCCAGAGGGACTATAGTTATAGAGTGAAGAAGAACATGAACACGATGGAGGATAATGTTTCAGATACTCGGTATCCAGGCCATGTAAAGTTTTTTGTAATTAAAAGGTTTTGAAGCAATGGTTGATGTATATTGGTAGGAAATACAAGGTGTAGTCTTGAACTTGAAATATGGTGAAATACAAGACTGGACTCTTTTGTGATTAGGAAGATTACTTATATTAACCACATCAATTCCTTTATTGGCATATTGAAATTTAAGAAAAAGACGGATTGTTTCAGCTGCATTTTATTCAGTAAACGTGGGGATTTGAAAAGCCTATGATTACATCTAGGTTTATAGTAAAGTAATAATCTGCCATTACGAGTATCTGAAATATACTTCATAAAGGGTCCCAACTGATATCAGTTTTTACTTGGAATGTAGGCTTAATTGCAAACAGTAAAAGCAAATATTGTAGATTTTAAAAAAATATATATATATGAATAACTCGCACGGTGATGCTAAAGTTTGAAATCAATTTTGTACAGTCTTGAACGTTGAAATGTCCCCTTTATGACACATTTCCTTAGTGTAACTAGGGGCCTATCACAATCACAGAAATACACAAAAAGTTTTATATCCGGACTGTTGGAGACAGCGATACTGTATACAGTGAAAGACTACAAGATCCTTTGGCAAGAAATGTTCCGGAAATCGTTATTCTCCGTGAGACCATCTGATATTCACCGGAATTGACGTACACTTTTGACACGGAAGTCATCTGGAACCCCTCCGGAATCTACCTCCTTTTCCGAGCCTCTGCCTGGCGTTGTTCCTCTTCTTCCTTACGTTTCTTTGTTATTTCTTTCATTTTAAGAACTAATTCGCTGAAAAAAATTAATAAAAATAATAAAACAAAAACTTCTATTTGTTTGCTCAACTATAGGGGTGTTTTCATTCATACCAAAATGCTCAAAATTATATATACATGAATAGGGACACAAGTTTGTCGATGGTTTGTAAACTACAAACCTAAAATCTATATCCCCATCTCCGTCAATGTCTATAAATGTGATTAGTGCATCAACCTGATATGATGAGAGTGGAATTTTTGCTTGCTGAAAATAAAAAAAAACATCTTAATTTCTAAGACCATAAAGCTAAAGTTACATGTAATAGTCTTCCTGGATAATTAATAGACTCATGCATAATGTATGCATTTAACTTTATTAATATAAAATCATTTTTGCGTTTCTCAATATTAGAATATTAAGGAAAGTGTTACCTTGATCCCTTGGCGGAATTCGTCATAATCCACGCTATTACTTCCGTCTTCATCGAACTCAGCAAACAGCTTAGCCACAGTTAATTCCTTTTCTTCAATGAATTCTTTAATTATCCATAACGCCTCTTCTCCCATGTCCATAAAACCAGCCATTTTCCTCTTTCCGTACGAGTCTGTGTATCCATGAATCACTTCCAAACTCGGATGAATGTCGTTCAAAGATTCTAATTCTTTTACTACCGCAGAACCCAACATTACGTCCTTAAAAAAGAATTAATCTAATACATGTATTAAACTTATGGAGAGTTTTACCATTTCTTCAATGATACTGAAGATATAGTCTTACCGCTTTGTAGTATTCAGAAAAGATAGCTGAGACAAATGTATTTTCAGATCCTCTACGGATTTTTCACAAAAGATTATTTTCCATGATTGCTCATTTGTGAATTCTATCATACATTGCAGAAACTGCATAGGCATTCCAGTAAAAAACACTTGGTTGTTAAAGCTTGAAAGTATTAGAGTTAAATTTAAAACTCTCCAAAAATAAAACTGTCTTCCCAATTGCTTAGGAGTCCAAAAACTATACAATAATTGTTTGAGGCGTTTAATTCATTGAATAAAATATACAAGCCATAGAACTTACTGATAAATCAAGAACAACTAATGTTAATGACGGTATTTCTTTTAGAAGATCTAGTGACAACTTCACTGTTTCTTCCTTTATGTTGTTTCTGCCAATCTGCAAATTTTTAAAGAATATAATATAGTAAAAGATCATGAAGTAAGGATATAATTATAAACCAGTTTATTTGCTAGCGAGAAATTTTTGCAGGTTTCGTAAACTTCATAAAAATGGGTTTCTAAATTGTTTGAGGTCTCTGTATTTCAGAAAGAGCTGTTGTCTAGCACCTACCCGTAGGACTTCTAAGTCTTCGTTTTTCTTAAAGGCCCTCATGACCTGGGCGTAACCTTTATCTCCAATGCGGGCGCAGGAGATGTCAAGTTCCGTTAACACTGCGTTGTTACTCAAGCAGTCAGAGAATGCGTTAGCTCCCTCATCGTCGATACCATTCCACGAGGCGTTCACTAGCTTCAGCTTCATATTGTCCTGGTAAGGATAAAGAAATGGAGATTCTAGTAAAATATTGTCAAAGTGATCCATTGGCTATTCATAATTTGTTTTTGATCAATTGAAAAAAATTGATCTATCTTTAACCAATTGACATTGTTGAAGTAAATCCAAAAGAATCAACTTGCTTTTTGTGGGGATAGAGATTTTTTTCAAGCCCGTTTCCTTTAAAAATTTAAGTTCATTTCCATTTACTTGCCTTATTTTGCAAAGTTTACGTTATTTCACACATTTGTTTGCCTTTTCTTTCAAACAATGCTATAGTATATATATAACAAAAACCTACATACTTTGTTTCCAAATGATCAGTAGAAATTTAAAATCTATAACAAAGTTATTTTTTTATTTATAATAACATGGTTATTACATGTAGATTGTTCCGATAACCTTTGTTCATCTATATTACTTTATCGTTTCATATTTACCCTTAATCCCCTGGCTAGGCATTTGGCTCCCGGAACTCTGAACTGATTCCAGCTGATGTTTAGTTCTGTCATGTTGTTATTTTCAGCTTGAAATAAAGATGGAAAAATTCATACATTTTTCATGTTTTATTGCACCCATTTAGTTCAGATAGTTCCTCGAATTCTTTACAGCTATAGCTACCAGTATCTAAATTTCTAAGCTTACACAGCATTCGTTCAAAGTGAGGTCCAGCAATGTCACCAAATTCGTTCCGACTGATGTTAAGATATTCCAGGGCTGGGTGAGCCTAATAAGAGAAACAATACAGATAACATGTGAATTTTAGTTGTACATCACTATGTGGGGATATAATTCCATGACGATTTATAGTGGATACTAACCTCTAATTCTTTGGTTATGAAAGGTGCGTCAAGATCTGTAAATTCGTTCCCTATTAAAAGACAAATAATTATGTACATTGCTTTTACTCCATATAAATTCAAATACTGAGTATAAAGGAGAATATATGATTGCTTTTTCTGTACGTGGGCCAGATTTTTTTTGTTGTTGTTGCCATGACGATATTTGGCAAGAATTGTATTTACGTAGCATCCTCAAGACCTTGACCTCTCTATGAACCCTAATCAGGAAATGTTACATCATAATCCCATCAGATGAGGCTGTTACATGTATGACCTTGGCCTCAATTAAAAAAAAAATACTAGTAGATTCTTTGATACTCTAGCCTAAATGGTTAAACAAAGGTTTTATGCTATAGTGCATCTTGTTAACTGAATTGACATTCTTCTCTTAATTTATGAACTCAGAATAAATTAAATGTTTATAGATCCATTTAAACTGCCTGTAGTGATGTAAAATTATTTAAAGAATCCAGTCTTTTAAATTACATTCATAATCCTCCTAATAAAGGCTTAATGACGTTAATGTATACAATGTATTTAACAGGATGTTTAATTTCAACCTGAATAAAATTCCGCGTTTTATGAAATACCATTGTAAGTATACATGTATGTGTACAAATCTGAGAGAAACTCGCAAACATTTTCAATATTTCTTAAATAAATATTTGATTTAAAGGTTTTGTCTTCACGTTCAAGCAGTTTTTTAAGATGTGCAGTTCTTTCAACCAGTGACTTCAGTTGAACGGAAGTAAAATAGAGAAATTACACAAAATAATCCCTAATAGTCTCACCTGATATGTTAAGTCGCTTTATGCCTTTGTTGTCCTGTAGCATCATCCCTATTGCTTTGACTTACCTGATATGTTAAGTCTCTTTATGCCTTTGTTGTCCTGTAACATTATCCCTATTGCTTTGGCTTACCTGATATGTTCAGTCGCTTTATGCCTTTGTTGTCCTGTAACATCATCCCTATTGCTTTGGCTTACCTGATATGTTCAGTCGCTTTATGCCTTTGTTGTCCTGTAGCATCATCCCTATTGCTTTGACTTACCTGATATGTTAAGTCGCTTTATGCCTTTGTTATCCTGTAGCATCATTCCTATTGCTTTGACTTACCTGATATGTTGAGTCGCTTTATGCCTTTGTTATCCTGTAGCATCATCCCTATTGCTTTGACTTACCTGATATGTTGAGTCGCTTTATGCCTTTGTTATCCTGTAACATCATCCCTATTGCTTTGACTTACCTGATATGTTAAGTCGCTTTATGCCTTTGTTGTCCTGTAGCATCATCCCTATTGCTTTGACTTACCTGATATGTTAAGTCGCTTTATGCCTTTGTTGTCCTGTAACATCATCCCTATTGCTTTGGCTTACCTGATATGTTCAGTCGCTTTATGCCTTTGTTGTCCTGTAACATCATCCCTATTGCTTTGGCTTACCTGATATGTTCAGTCGCTTTATGCCTTTGTTGTCCTGTAGCATCATCCCTATTGCTTTGACTTACCTGATATGTTAAGTCGTGCCTTTGTTATCCTGTAGCATCATCCCTATTGCTTTGACTTACCTGATATGTTGAGTCGCTTTATGCCTTTGTTATCCTGTAGCATCATCCCTATTGCTTTGACTTACCTGATATGTTGAGTCGCTTTATGCCTTTGTTATCCTGTAACATCATCCCTATTGCTTTGACTTACCTGATATGTTGAGTCGCTTTATGCCTTTGTTATCCTGTAGCATCATCCCTATTGCTTTGACTTACCTGATATGTTAAGTCGCTTTATGCCTTTGTTGTCCTGTAGCATCATCCCTATTGCTTTGACTTACCTGATATGTTAAGTCGCTTTATGCCTTTGTTATCCTGTAGCATCATCCCTATTGCTTTGACTTACCTGATATGTTAAGTCGCTTTATGCCTTTGTTATCCTGTAACATCATCCCTATTGCTTTGACTTACCTGATATGTTGAGTCGCTTTATGCCTTTGTTATCCTGTAACATCATCCCTATTGCTTTGACTTACCTGATATGTTGAGTCACTTTATGCCTTTGTTGTCCTGTAACATCATCCCTATTGCTTTGACTTACCTGATATGTTAAGTCGCTTTATGCCTTTGTTGTCCTGTAGCATCATCCCTATTGCTTTGACTTACCTGATATGTTAAGTCTCTTTATGCCTTTGTTGTCCTGTAACATCATCCCTATTGCTTTGGCTTACCTGATATGTTCAGTCGCTTTATGCCTTTGTTGTCCTGTAACATCATCCCTATTGCTTTGGCTTACCTGATATGTTTCGCTTTATGCCTTTGTTGTCCTGTAACATCATCCCTATTGCTTTGACTTACCTGATATGTTCAGTCGCTTTATGCCTTTGTTGTCCTGTAGCATCATCCCTATTGCTTTGACTTACCTGATATGTTAAGTCGCTTTATGCCTTTGTTATCCTGTAGCATCATCCCTATTGCTTTGACTTACCTGATATGTTCAGTCGCTTTATGCCTTTGTTATCCTGTAGCATCATCCCTATTGCTTTGACTTACCTGATATGTTGAGTCGCTTTATGCCTTTGTTATCCTGTAACATCATCCCTATTGCTTTGACTTACCTGATATGTTAAGTCGCTTTATGCCTTTGTTGTCCTGTAGCATCATCCCTATTGCTTTGACTTACCTGATATGTTAAGTCTCTTTATGCCTTTGTTGTCCTGTAACATCATCCCTATTGCTTTGGCTTACCTGATATGTTCAGTCGCTTTTTGCCTTTGTTGTCCTGTAACATCATCCCTCTTGCTTTGGCTTACCTGATATGTTCAGTCGCTTTATGCCTTTGTTGTCCTGTAGCATCATCCCTATTGCTTTGACTTACCTGATATGTTAAGTCGCTTTATGCCTTTGTTATCCTGTAGCATCATCCCTATTGCTTTGACTTACCTGATATGTTGAGTCGCTTTATGCCTTTGTTATCCTGTAGCATCATCCCTATTGCTTTGACTTACCTGATATGTTGAGTCGCTTTATGCCTTTGTTATCCTGAACATCATCCCTATTGCTTTGACTTACCTGATATGTTGAGTCGCTTTATGCCTTTGTTATCCTGTAGCATCATCCCTATTGCTTTGACTTACCTGATATGTTAAGTCGCTTTATGCCTTTGTTGTCCTGTAGCATCATCCCTATTGCTTTGACTTACCTGATATGTTAAGTCGCTTTATGCCTTTGTTATCCTGTAGCATCATCCCTATTGCTTTGACTTACCTGATATGTTAAGTCTCTTTATGCCTTTGTTATCCTGTAACATCATCCCTATTGCTTTGACTTACCTGATATGTTGAGTCGCTTTATGCCTTTGTTATCCTGTAACATCATCCCTATTGCTTTGACTTACCTGATATGTTGAGTCACTTTATGCCTTTGTTGTCCTGTAACATCATCCCTATTGCTTTGACTTACCTGATATGTTAAGTCGCTTTATGCCTTTGTTATCCTGTAACATCATCCCTATTGCTTTGACTTACCTGATATGTTAAGTCGCTTTATGCCTTTGTTGTCCTGTAACATCATCCCTATTGCTTTGACTTACCTGATATGTTGAGTCGCTTTATGCCTTTGTTATCCTGTAACATCATCCCTATTGCTTTGACTTACCTGATATGTTGAGTCACTTTATGCCTTTGTTGTCCTGTAACATCATCCCTATTGCTTTGACTTACCTGATATGTTCAGTCGCTTTATGCCTTTGTTTCCTGTAACATCATCCCTATTGCTTTGACTTACCTGATATGTTAAGTCGCTTTATGCCTTTGTTATCCTGTAACATCATCCCTATTGCTTTGGCGCCAAATGTTTTTAAATGATTGTCAGATACGTCCTTTAAATAAAAAGAAATCATTTTTAATTTGTATAAGAGCATTTTATAAAACAAAAGTACCTTTTTATTCTTCCGAAAAAGTTTTGATTTATATATACGTGATTTTTGCGTTAACAAAACCATTATATATACATTTAATGTGTTGTCTTCATAAAAGAGTCTGGGAAATTTGAAGTAAGAAGATAGGAGCAAGCTAATTTTTAAAATTTTATCTTAAATTATTATGCACAAAGTTGTACTTTATGAAATTCTGTAGAACCCGTGACACTACATCTATGATGGTTTTTCCCAACATCGTGTTGAGTTTATACTAGTATAATGTACAATGTATTTACATTGGACATTTTAGAGAAAACCATATACTACGATTTGTTTAATTAAAGATCAAATAAACTAAGATTTTTCGAGGATGTTAAGAGTTACATTATACCAAAACCCGTATAAGACAAAGTTAACAAGATTTACTTAGAAGTGATGACGTATAATATTCGAATCATTGTTGTGTTGTTCATAAAATCAATTTAATCATACTACAGATTAATTAATCCCCGTCTTACTAGATCTGTTATTGTGAGGTTTTCCTCCATCATTCTCTGTATATACAGGATTCCCGTCTTGTCTATATTGTTACCACTGATGTTTAACGAAGTCACTGTCGAATTAATCTGCAATTCACAAAAATAAACATGTTCACTTACCAGAAAAATATACAAATTACATTGACATGTATATTCCAGATGAAGAAATCACAGCAAGAAAAATTATAAAAACATTGCTAGCCAATTAAATATTATTTTAATACACTAGTCGTCCCAAAACTCAAAGAAAACATCTGAAAAGGATGAAAATATTAAACAGTCAGTGGTTTGGGCTGTAAAAACACTACAATAATGATTTTAAAACAAAATTTATTTAAAACTTTATTTTAAAAGAAAAAAGGAAAAGAAAACACTTGCTGTGGCCTTCAACTGTACTGTAAAATCACATATTTTCCAGGGGACAAATAAAAAGTATATGAAATTTTAAATTTCGTAGTGGTCCTAGATTCGTGGGTCTCTACATGCCTAAAAAAACTTAAATTAAACCCCTGAGAAAATAAGTGATTTCACAGTATTAGCTATCAACAATAGTTACTTCCAATCATATGTTGACCAAGTACATCCCAGCGAAAAAATACCATTGACACTGACATAGCTGCTACATATTTTAATACTCTACTCGAAAAGCCGTAATGGCATTCTAACAGTAAAACGTAATGATAATCGTGATGAATTCAATTTTTCTTTCGTCAACTTCCTTTACTTGTGTAGCAGTATACCTTCACCATCTGCATTTGGAGGTTATATTTTTCATTTGATTCGATACGTAAGAGTATATGCTCTACTTAAAATTTCAAAGTCTCGCTTGAAGTCTTCATTTCGTAAGTTCTATGATCGGTACAATGACCTTGTCAGCAAATACAATTTATCATTGAGTCAAACGCTGACTGACGTTTTCATGAAAACGGGACATATGGAGATAACGAACAGTATTCAAGCTGAAATGTCCATAAAACAATACAAAATAGGAGCAGAGCAAACAAACATCACAGGTGGAATCAGGTGCCATGGAGGAGTGAGCATCCCCTGCCGACCAATCACAGTCGCCTTGTGCTCCTTGTCATGATCGGGAAATAACGGGAAATTCCGACGTCAATTCAGTGTATAAATAGTGGACTAACAATTAGTATGAAAAACGTCAGTCAGCATTTGATTCAATGATAAATTGTATTTGCTGACAAGGTCATAGTATCAACCATAGAACTTACGAAATGATTACTTCTAACGAGACTGCTGATATTCTTGTTTCATCATCTTGTTAGACTATTATTTATACACTAAATTTACGACGGATTTTTCGTTATTTCTCGATCATGACAAGGAGCACAAGACAGGTGTGACCGGTCAGCAGGGAATGCTTGTCACTCCTTCATTGCATCTGGTCCCATCTCTGGTGTCTTAAAGAGGTCCTTGCTTGCTCTGCTCCTGATTTGATTTGTTTGAATGGACTTGTGAACTTGAATACAGTCCGTTATTTTCGTATTTCATTACAGTAATATGGTCATACAGAGATAGCTTTATATACATGCGCCAAAAGTGGAAATCAAGAAAATATGAAGATAATGAACATGGATCGTAATCAGAAGTTCAATAAAACAATACGAATTTCAAGCAGAGCCAACACAAAAAGGAAGTCATCTCGTTCACCAGAAAGTTTAATTGTTGTTTCTTAGCCGTGTAAAAGTGTATGTTACAAGCTTTAAATCTAACATACTCTGTGGTTTATTTTACTTTGAGTTCAATTCGATGAAATGAGTACCGGTAACAGATCTAGAAGTTGGAATGAAAATTATTTTTCGACTTTCATAACTTTTGCATTTATTATACCCACCCATCTCCATTTTTAAAAGTATTATTTAAGTACATGTACATTTTTACAGAGAAGTTATTTTTGGATGTAAACATCGTATACTTTAACTGTGTACATAATTTTACTTAATATATACAATAATAGTAGCATACACGTTGTCTAGCGCAAGTAGAAGTTGCGGGTCATAGTTATTTCACTCCTTCCAAGATTACATGTATACCTTTTGTTCAACGCCTATTATATTACTGTACAGTAATCACAAACTAGCAAAGAAGTTGACTTCAACATATAAAATTGATGGAGCATTTTAATTATATCACTAACCACTAAGGCTACCGACACTGCCATGGTCCCTTTTGGCCCCAGTCCATAGTGCTTGATGTCGATGTTTGGGGACTCCACCAACTTTTTCAGTATTTTAGAAGAAGGCACCACTCCCAATTTCTGACAGATTTTTTCGTACGTTCTCCTACCAGTGTCATCATAGGGTATGTGAGGCACTAGATGAACCATTAATAAGATTATTATACAGTTGTAGGTGGGGCTCAAATAAAAGAATGATAGGCCAAATTTACGGAAGGAATTTGATAAATCTAATTGTAAAAGCCCCTGACCAACCGACCCCTCACAGTTACTCCAATTTTGTACGTATACTGAACTTAAATTCATATTTAACAAAGAACTCATTGGGATACTTGGTATTTCATAACAAATACGCAATGCTTTTATGCGATAATGAAGAATTGTTTGTTCATTAAATTTAGTTTACCTGTTATGTCTAAAACTGTTTCCTGATCATCCTCTATATCTTTTCTATTTTTAGTAGGCGTTCCACTGGGAGAATCTTTTGTAAAGACCTAAAATGACAAAATCATTAAGGTATAAACCATAAAAAAGAAGGATGAAAAACATCTATTTAAGATGTCTGAACATCTACCAGGTACCTCGCACTTGCTAAGAGGCAGGGAAACGAAAGAATCCGAGGTACCAGAGCGGATATTCACAAAGGACAAGAACCGAGTCAGGAGATAATCGTCCGTGTAGTCAATTCCATCCATGTCAGCGATGTGAAAAATAAAACCAGGTTCTAACATTCTTATAAATGTGTTTTTGAGTGTTATTTGGTAATAGACTTTATTAACTCGTAATCCCACTTGCAATGGGTAGAAGGACCACGGTCTTTAGGTCTTTGATAAAAATGAGAATACAGATTTTGTACCTTACTTCGTGGAACAATACTGAATGCCTGGCTGGAGTAGTTATTTAATTTACAGATTGAATACGACAAAAGTTAGAAGTCCTCATCTTTTAATGCTTGGGGCGGAGGAATTGTTTATCTATCAAACACTTAACTTTTTTGTTAAGCTTGGCTTATACACTTAGTACATCGTGTTACATTGAGAGAGATTTTCGGAGACGTTTAAATATATCCAGGTTTGAAACATTTTACCATTCAATGAAAACTACGGGATTGAATGATTTACAGACACTAATCTTTTGATTTTTTATGATATTTAATTCATTTTGTCATGGGTTTACATGCTAATATGCTTACGAAGGCAAGGTCATTGGCATGTATTACATTATTACTGTACATGCAGTGAAATCGACCATGCAGGCTTAGGTTTGAATATGGCGCAAGAATCAGTTTATGGTCACTAAACCAGTGAGTGCCGTGTAGAGTATTATATACAGGATTAGATTAAAGATATTTTGAGATTTATTTACAAAACTCCCCGAGTTTTGTAAAAAATTGTTACAAAAAATGTATTAAATCTGCTTTTGGAGCGCTGGAGATCAAATGAAAGGTGTGACTCTATGCATTATGTGGACAGGTGTGAACTCACTAAAAATACTTTCTTTATAAATGTGTCGTATTCTGTAGATTTCAAACCTAATTTATTTTTATATATGAAATATATGGCGTGGAATATAGAGATAACAATATTCAAGCTCAAAAGTCCATAAATAATACAAAATAGGAGCAGAGAAAACATGGACCTCCAAAACATTAGAGATGGAATCAGGTGCCATGGAGGAGTGAGCATCTTCTGCTGACTAATCACACTCGCCGTGTGTTCCTTGTCATGATCGTGAGAAAAAAAAACGTCAATTTTGTGTGTATATAATGGCCTATCAATTAGTATGAAAAACGTCAGTCAGCATTGGCATCGATCATATAACTTACGAACTGATGACTTAAAACGAGACAGGTTGCAGGTGATGAAGGTTTACTGCTGCATAAGTATAGGAAGTTGATTGAAAAGTTAAAATCATCAGGTTTATCATATATAGAGTTTGGTTGTTAGATTATCATTGATGCTTTTTTTGCTTTTTTCAAAATATCTAAATATCAAACAGATGTGTCAGATTCTGTGGTATCTTTTATCTCAAGCTCACCGGGATATATCATATCCATATAAGAATGAAAATAACCATTGTTAATTGACAATAGGTCGTCGATATATACATTTTTTAAGATTATTACACATGTTTATTTTGAAATAGTTCATGTTTTGTTGTTTTATAATGGTGTAATCTCTGTCAGATTCTACGATTTTCCTCTTTAAAGTGCTTTACTGGTTTGACTTCAAACTAAAATGATTTAACTCTTATGTACAGCATACTTAAATTTTGAATCAATGTCATTCAATTTTCTTATAAAATCCAACATCATATTTTTATGTTATTTTTTTATGATGCACTTGAAGCAAAAAAAATGAATACTGATGATTATGATGATGATTAATAAAAGTTAATAATGACTTCATTTACAGGCATTCTTATAGCATGATTGCTACTTGAAATTGAATAAATAATTAAAATCATATAACTGAATGAACTCCAAAAAATATGATGACCTGCTAAGAAAATCTGTGATTTGTAATATAAGCAATTCCGAAAATTGTAAATTAATTGGATCTAGGTCCATTGTCCTGTAAACTTCCCCTATAAAGTACCTACCTTGGATATTGCCTTTTTATCAGGAGTAAAGCGGGCAGTAGTGGTTCCAATATACTCAGCTTTCACACTGGCCATTTTTGTTCAGAATCAAAACTTTACGAAAACTTATTTTCCATAATATATATATGCTTTCTTGCGTTAATGATGAACGAACAAATATTGTATTAAAGTACCTTCCTCCATTTACAATTTACCAAGCCTTGTCACAAATATCCGGGTAAATATTTTAACTTTTCAAAAACAAATAAGAATTCTCAGTCATTTCCCTGGCATGATGAAAGGCTACAAACAACTGACTGTGTGTTCCCCCGATTTTATATGTACTGATTATGGAATGTTAAAACACTGGATTAACAAGTAGCACTTTCAGTCAGATTGGTTCTTTAATTTTTCTCGATAGGTAATTAAGAATTAAAACTTACCTCTTCCATTGTTCTCTAATCCACTCTTAAGCTAGGTACCCTTTGACACCAGTGACAAGTAATAACTATTTTCATCTAACTTATTTTGAACCCCTATCTTTTTTAACTGACTCCCATTTTAATGAACACATTTGATTCTCAATTATGCAGAGATTCTTCTGCTAACGAGGCATAATAAGGGGGTGTAATTAAAAAGGATCAACAGGTTCTTACAATGTGTATGGAAGCAGTGTTTCATCATTCGTGTCAGTGTTTGTTTTCGGAGATTGCACTGGCTCTCGTCTGTGATTTTTCAAACATTATGTGCCAAATAAATATCGTTAATAATTAGAATATTTCCGAAACCCCTCTAGGAACTAAATTAATCTGAATTCGACTTGTATTTTAAATTAATGATTGTTTTGGATGCGGAGTGAACAGATTGACAGATAATGACAAAGAACTGATTTAAAGGGAGTCTTTGTGTATAGTAACAATCTTATTTAAAAACCTCCGACGGATCTGTACCTGTAAAAACCCAAACAGCAGACTTTAAACCTCTTTTACTTCCAGATGGAATCTCTCGACGTATGGTTCACATCTCTAGACTTGGTAGTGTAAAGCTCAATCAACGATGTAAACGATATGTCGAATTAAAGTTTTCAGGGGAGCGGGGGGAGGGGAATTTAATTTTTTGCGCATAGATTTATCCTTGGATGAACGAAGGCTCATTCACAAGAGTCATTGGGCTAGCTAGCTAGAAAGCTTCTTTATAGCAAGTTAAATGTTTATCTATTCGTAATTCTGTGGAGCTTTTTATTTTATTTTTTCCAGCTGGTTATTAAAACCAGCTAATTTCATATTCCGTCTGATCAACATTTACAATTATCAATATTTGAAGAAGCGGCTAAAATTAAATGAAGCCGCTAAGCCTTTAATTAACTTCTGTATTACTGGTGCAGGTCCGGTAACCACAGTCGCTACAGCTGATTTTTAATATGTAATTCGTAGACCTACCCGACAGTTTCAAGTTGTTTGAATGTTGTTGATATGTAATGATTAAGTTGGCCTTGGGTCATTCGGTTCAGTTAGGAAACAGTCTTTTAAAAATTAACTTACACGTTTTTGGAATAAATATTAAGATACACTGTAAACCATTTTCTTTATTTCTTATTAGCTCAATTCTATGGAAGATGTTATTCCAGCCCGTCCATCTGTCTCCGTTTCTCCATCCTCACACCCTTTACATTTCATGCTGTTGCAGCCAACTAAACTGTATGACAAATGAACTTTTCCATCATTAACTTTCCCAATTTTATGTTTTAATATCCTGCTATCGCCTGCATACGGTGTTAACATCTCCCAACCTATTTGCTTGAGAGCATGCCCTGTGTGTGATCACTTTAAACCAACGCAAGCTACTGGTAGATAAGTTGATGTTACAAGGATTTTTTTTAAATCGTTAAACAAAGGTATTTTATAAATTCTGTGGTCATTATCATGACCTTGTTAGTAAATATATCCTATCATTAGATCGTATTTTGTCTGGCTTATTTCATACCAATTGTTAGGTCTTTGTTTTTATACTTAATTTGACTATGGAATGTTCCGCCTATACTTGATCAATATACAGGGCTCACAGTGTGGGTGACCGATCAACAGGGGATGCTTAATCCTCCTAGGCACCTGATCCCTGGAATTGTATTGTTTATAGATATTTTTTAATTGATCAGTTTTTCATGTTCAACTTTTTCATAGACCTTGTTTTAGGTCTATGCCTTTTCCATTTTATAAACACACAAACCCTTGACTTGAGAATAGTTTTCATATGACCTAAATTTAGCAAAAGTTAGCTCCCATTGGCCGCCATACTGGAGGTGCAAATGCTCATATTCCTTCATTGTTCAACCAATTTTAAATTTTTATATTTGCGATTTTGAATAAGGAATCATTATTTTTCTGAAGTATATGAATTTTTGGAAGCCTCCTTTATTAAGAAAAAATTATTTAATAAAGATTTTCCACCAAATATTTCTGCTATATTTTTTTAAACTTGGTAAGACAAAGAGGAAAACTCACCGAGTCGACCTCCAATATGGCGACCAACGGGAGGTAACTTTTGCTAAATTTGGGTCCATCGAAAACTATCTATACTGAGGTTGGTGATCAGGGTTATCTTTCTTAGATCTCATCCTATAACTTCTGTGAATTAGGCCACTGTCTGTTTTTCCTTTCCAGATGGATTGACTTAAAACGGACCAACTCAATTTTTTTGGAAATGCATAAAACAATTAACTTTTTTATTATTCATTCTGAAATGTTCCCATCCTATTAATTGCTTACCAGTAATTTAACAACATACTTAACAGTAATTTAACATCAAAATTTAAAGTTTTTTTAATAACAAAAAATCCCCAATACCCAGTTGCACCTAATTTTCAATATCCTGAGTAAGGTAGAGGGCAAGCAAATGTTTTTTTTAAAGATGACCTTAATGAAATATATTGTGCAGGTAAGAAAGATTAAAACTTTATACACTGCACAGGTACTTTACATTTGGGTGTTATTTAAATAATTAATTATACATCACACTACAATACAAATATACATGTATATATGTGTCTTATCTGCTCAGACAAAGCAGTCTTACTTTGAAGACAAAGGAGTCTTACTTTGAAATATCAAAGGACAGTACACAGAGTAAACAGAATCAAAGAACAAGGGCACCCCCCAAAAAGTATCCCCTCGCAAATAGCTTACCTATAAATCAAGACACCAATCCACAATGATCTCAGTGCAAATTACGTCACTTCCATTTTGCATAAAGACAAAGTAACACGCAAGCACAGACATACCCTCACACAAGCGTGTTACTATATACCCTCCAACTCTATTGCAAAGGGATTGTAAAGAAAGGAGAATTCTTATGTCCTACTACTGTAGAAACATAAAAAAAGTGAATATTTAAAACTTGCAGTAAAGTTTACTCCATACAATTTAAAAATCTTGACTAGTGGCAATTAAGATACAATCAAATAATAAAATAAAATTTAAATTAATCGAACAAATACCGATTTAAAATACCAAGTTCTTTATGCATAAAATAATATCAGTTTCAATTTTCTATCTGTAAAGTAGATAAAAATTCACACATAAAATTCATCAGCATATGAAAAGTAAAATTCTGCATACATGCAAATAAAACTCAAATAATCTAAGTTTTATAAACAGGAGGGAATTTTATACAAATAGAATACTTTCTAACATGCGAGTTGGTGGGGTGTGGTAATAACAAAAAGGGTAAAGAAACTAAAATAAATGAAAAAGGAAAAAAAATAACAGTTTTAAACTTTATGAGTAAAAAGGGATTGAAAAACAATATTTTCTGATTTTAATATTTCTTTTCAATTATTAAAACATTTTTTGCATACAAAAAACAAACAGGCTTTAGGCAACAGATCAAGCTTCAACCTGTATCTTCTTATTTTGAATTTTGATAATCAAGGCAAGTTTATGCTTTTCAAAATTGTAATGATTAAATTTGAAAATTTTGAAATAACAGTTTTACATGAATTATATATTATATTTACCCTTTGAAGAATTAAAAGTTTACATAATACCTCGTATGTCATTAAAAAGTCAAATTGGAGTATTGAATTACATTCACATCAAAATTATGCAACAAACTAAGTAACAATGATATGAAAAAAGAATGGTATCACATTCAGATCTGGACCCCATTTTACTAAAGAATTCATGATGCAGTGGCACAGTCCAAATTTAACCTTTTTTTAAAAAAAACTGTCCTGTTTTAAATTACTGCAAAAATTATTCATCCTTCAATATCTTTTACAAAATTTAAAATTTATTGCTGTTTTTAAATTTATCGTCAAACACAAAAAAGTATTTTGGCAACATATTTTTTAGTCTAAATTAAAATTCCTTTAGTAAAACAGATCCCTGAGTTAATTATATGGATATATGATAGCTTTAATATAATTAAATCACAATGTTATAAAAGACCAAGCTCGAGTTTGAGAAACATTTTGAGTGATGGATTTTCAATTTTTTCTATTTCTTTTTTGGCACGTTCATTTCCGTCTTTCTCGTAATATTTCCTCAGTTCATTTGCATACATGATCCACACACAGTTGGCACATCCACTCATACAGCAGTCCACAGGGGGCTCAGGGGGAATCCCCTTACCCAGCACAATGTCTTTAGAACAACTACGATGAGGATGGCTTATATTCTCATTGACCAAAGCACTTAAACCAGGGTCATTCTCTTCCTTATTGGCAATATCACAAGTTTTACTGTTAAATTGAGAGTTTGAAATTAACACCTCTTCATTGCTGGATAATACACCGCTTGAACACTGTCCTGTTACTTTTTCTTTAAGGGGTTTGCCACTGTTTCTTCTGACTTCCTGATTCATACCTGTGTTGTGTTGGAGAATTCGCTTGACATGGCTCTGAGACAGGCTCCTGAATGACTGAAACTCTAAATGCTTCACTAAGAAGACAACTCTGCCTCTAAAGAATCCCATTCCTTCTGCAACAGAATAAAAAAACATTTTATTACTACAGTAATTAACAGCAGTGTTTTGAGATTTAAATTCTGTGAATTTCAATCAAGTTCCTTTTTCTTTCAGACAAGCCTAAGTGCACCAAATTTTGAAACGTCGCTTATGAGCATTTTTTACATGTTTTACTTAAATATTTATCTAGTACTCACATCGATGTCAGATGACTTGGTACGTAAGTGTAGGCACTATGATCATATTAATTTAAGTTTGGTGTAATCTGCACTCTATTTCAACTGTTCAGCTAGCTAGCTAATCCGGGTATATATTCCTTTATCCATGTATTTTATGTACCTACATATTATCTCTCTAAATAGTCAAGAAAAATTCATTCAAAATTTTCAACCACTCTCAGGCTTTGACTCTGATTAAATATAAAAAAAAATAACTTTGTTGACAATATTTTGTTTGACCCTGAAATTTAACCGGAAGTTTGACTGGCGCTGTAATCCCAAAACCAAATTCTCCGAAAACTCGCATGTCCACACAAAACTGTAAAAATGGGAAAGCTTGGAAAATTACAAAAGAGCAGAAAACACAAAAAATTAAAGAATGTAGGTGCTGAATATGTCAATGAGTATAGGGGGTAAGTTATTTCTTATTCTCATTCAGATACGGAAATAAACAGGATAATTTAGATAAAACTTGCAAAGGAATACTTATCAGCTCGAATTTCTTCAGCTATTGTAAAGTATTGTTATGATTTTATACGTTAGAATTTTATGTTTTGATACCAACAAGTACATGTGATTTTTATAGGAAGCCTTCCAATTTAGCACCAACAAGTAGTGAACAAGATGTACCCAAGAAAGTGAAAAACATCATGAAATATCAAGGAAAAACACCACGACAAATACAGAAAGAATATATTCAAAATAACAGCAAGAAAGGTATATGATAGTATATGTCATGTTTCTTTATTTTTGAAGTGTAGATCAGTAAGTGATCAGTGTAGCAGTGTTTTCCTTAACTTGAGGCTTAAGAAACGGTTACTGGCCAAATTACCAAATACATGTATACCGATTTGAAATTTGAAACAGAGGTTTTCTTTCCATTAATCTACATTCATGTGTTTTCTGTCTCGTACACCATTTAGTGTAGCGTAATGGAGAGAAAAACTCTGGGTTCCGACTTTAGCATGCAGGTACATGTACTGCATTCCTTGCATGGAGAGTGTTCATGTCTAAGTAATGGTTGGACCCATTCTATCTAAGTGTTTTAGAGCTAATCGGAGCAAGATTCTTCAATACTAAAAATTTTGTAACAATGTCACCAATCTTAATCCTCCCAGTGTCATCTGGCATTACATGATAATACTTTGTCAGTATTAATGCATTTTGGATGCGTTTTGTCTTACTCTTGCTTCACCAAAAAAATGTCTTTGAGATTAATTATATGTAAAACTCGTTTAGTATGAACACGGATATTGCGAATTTATGGATATAGCAAAGTCGTCTTGGATCCCGAGCTATATTAATTTAACGAATTCCTTATACGGATTTAATGAATTATGGGTATAAGTCCCAGTGACTTTGTTATAACGGAGTTTTACTGTACTTGTTTTATGTAGGAAAGAAACATGTTTACATGGAGCGGGGAATGACAAGACCTATGTCCGAGGCTCCAAAATTTGTACAAGGAAAGAGAGAAAAGAGTAAAGATTTCATGAAAAGGGTAGAAGTAGAGACAAGAAAAGTCCTACACCGACATCAACTGTCCCAGAAATTTAAGGTTAGTGTATGATTCAGAAATAGAATTTGTGGTCCTTGGGGTAAATCATGTCAACAAAGTCATTGATTGTCAACTCAGGGTGATCATGGATGTTTTGTGGTTCATTTCAAGAGAAGGTTTAAGGGTTCTTTTATAATATTGAAATAAAATGGGTACAATCGAGCCACTTTGATTAAAGTTATGAGTAAGACTTAGATGGCTAGAGTTATGCCCCTTGGACTTAGAAAAAAATCAATTATTTGCAGTTTTCGTTTATTTTCTTTGCAGCAATTGCATATCCTGAAATAAAATTCAGTATACAGATTTATCATAAAAATATCTAGGTCAAGTTCTGTTTTGGGTACGATTGAGCCATCTTTGATAGAGTTATGTCCTTTGGACTTAAAAAAAATTCCAATTATGGGGGGAGGAGGCATAAGTATTGTACAAACATCTCTTTTTATCAATTTTGAAGTGTAGAAATGTTTTTTTTTTTCAATTATTTCTTTGATTAAATATACCATGGATTAATGTTATTTAGGCAAAACTATTTTAAATGAATAGGAATTGTAACTATAAATTACATAATATTACACTGACATGTACAAGTGATTTACTTTGTTGTTTCAGATGGATATGGATGCCTTAGAAGCAGGAGAAATTAAACGGCACAAGAAAAAGATGAGTGAAAAGCAGAAAGAGTAAATAAATTAAATAAAAAAATAACTTTTCATATGATTTCAAATTGAATTCCATGAAATTCAATTTTCTACATAATTTTGTTAAAGTCGTAAAGTACGAGAAAAAGAAAGTTGAAATTGATTATGATGTCATAATGGATCTAGAACCAAAAAATTAGTCAAAAGTCATTTACTAGTATTAAAACACCAATTACTGATATTGAAACATTGATGTATTTTCCTGATCTTGCTATATGACAGTACTTACTGACAATTATTTATACTCTGTAGGAGATTGCAACAGAAAAAGCAGAAAAAGTCTGAAAAGAAGAGAAAGAATGTGAATGAATTTGATGACTTTGAAGGTAAATTGTGTAATGGAAATGAAACTTTATGTTATGTATGCTAGTCATTTCTTTTTGAGGTGCTCTTGCTGCTGAACTTAAGTTTAAGCATTAATTATTTTAATACTTAATTCAGACAGAGTAAAGTTTGGCGAGGTGGCCAATGAGCCCCCATCCCTTACAGCTCTACCCAGGAAAGCCATCAAGGAGGAATCTGTCCCCAGGGTAAGTCACCAAGGGGGGCCCAAACTCGAGGATTTTATAGAAGACGCCTGTTTTGTCTGTTGTCTTAACATCTTCACAAATAGATTTTTCCCAGAATTTCTTATTCAATTTCACCTGCATTTGTCACAAAGAATCCTTGGTGTTTGGGATTAAATTAAGGACCTCTAACCTTTTCTCAGTGGGATAGTAGAGAAATATTGAGAATAGGGTAGGGTATTTCAAAGTCTTTTCAATAACCACTGATTCAGAAATTGTTCAACCCTATAGTCCCTGGTGTTAGAATCCATATATGAAAAACAGAACATGCAGCTACATGTATAGGTTAAATATAATGCACTTTGGTGACCGTTTAGGTCCATCGGAAGCATGAAAGCTGAAAATACATGTAGTTTTGAAAAATAGGAATCATGAGAATTTCATGAATAAAAATGTACATTTTTTATTCATTTATATAATATTTATTTCAGCCTGGGAAGAAATCATTACTTCTGAAGGAGATAATAGCAGATAATGCTTCTGTTACTCCATCTAGTGTGGGATCATCATCCAAGCGTGAAATTGGACAATCAATCAAGCGTAAACATATGTCACTGGCACAACAGAGTATTATGGACAGAGAAAGAGAGAATGCAATAATGTTATATAGACAGCAAAGACAGAAAAAATTAAAAACCTTTTGACACAATGTATTTTGATTTAATTGATCTTTAAAACAAAGCCATTTTTTTCAAAAATAAATATTTTTAGCTCACCTGAACCAGAAGCTGAAGTGAGCTTTTCTGATTGAAGAGTATTTGGTGTCTATCTGTCTGTCTGTTTGTCATCTGCAAAATTTTCACAACTAGAACATCCTAGCCAAATTCAACAAAACCTGCTGAAAGCATCCTTGTGTGAAAGGGTTCAAGTTTCTTCAAATGAAGGGCCACATCCATTCTCAAGTTATTGAGCGGTTTGATTTACTTTATTATTCTATTAATTAAAAATCCCTCTGATTGTACACACAAGTGTTCTGAAGTTAACAGTAAGGATGCCAGTGTTCCCCATTGTCAACACACACGTATGTTGTCTTCAGAGACCAGATCTTCCAACAAAGACTGTGCTCCTTCATCAACTGACTTGTTTTATATTTCTAAAGCAAAATTTATTAAAAACGATATGAAGAAGAAGAAAATTGCTGTGGTCTTTATCTCAACATTTTTTGTCTCAATGTGTTTTCAAGTAACAATAGCTAGTTTCATCCATATGTTGACTTGATATATCTCAGTGAACTTGAAATAAAGGACTCCACAGAATCTGTCATACGTGTATTTGTTTAATACATGTATTCCGATGTTTTACTGAATGTAGACGATAAAGGTCAAACTAACAACTAAATTGTTTGACAAACAAGATGACTTCAGTTTTTTCATCGTCAACTTTTAGTTATGTAGTAATATTTCTCTCTAAATAGTGTTCAAATACATTATTAAACATGCTCTTAACAAATACAAATTGATAATTTACTGACAAAAGCCATCCCCTCTCCAGTTCAATTTCTTGCCACTTTGGTGATAAAATGTTTAAATACTTTATTATTTTTATATAATTATTATCAACCATATGCATTGGAAGATTGAAAGGGCGGGGTGTGGGTGGGTGGGGGATCTGCACAAGGTCGTTCACCTTCTTTTATCACGTGTAGACAAAAACTAAATATAGATTACTGTAATGTAAAGAACACTGATATACAAAACCCGTACTTTTATTTTCAAGGGAAAAGTAAAAACCCAGAATTTGAAAAATCCGGATTTTATTATAAAATTTTACTTTCTAAAAAGAAACAAAAACCAATAATGGAAACTAAATGGTCAAAAGAATTCAATAGAATGAATGGACAATGGAAAAATATCTATACAGCTAAGATACTAAATACTTCTGATAAACAGATAACAGAATTTAATTTTAAACTTTTACACAGCCAACTGAATTGTAATTTAATATCATGTTAATAAATGGAATAAAGAGGTGGCAAAAAATTGTACATCTTGCGGACAAGTAGAATATATTAAACACTTAATTTTTGAATGTGCAGACTCAAAATGAGTATGGGAAAAAATATCTCAAGTATTGAATTTAAATCTATCCTAAAAACATATTGTTGTAGGATTTTATAATGAGTTCAATAAGACAACAATGATTTTTAATAATGTCATATCAATTGTGGGATACAAAATATATAAATATAAAATGAAATGTAGGTTGCAAAACGAAATAGTAAATGCAAATGCAATGTTAATTTTTTTGAAATCGTCTTTGTATCAGTATTTTTAATAGCAAAGAATGCAAAAAGTATGGCAAGCCCTTTTACTATTTATTCGTGAAATAAAAATTTTCTCTCAACAAGAGAGATATCTCTCTAGCATATAGATATATCTCTTTAGCTTATAGAGATATGACGAAAAGAGATATCTTATACCTTAGAGAGATATCTCTTTAAACAAAAGAGATATCTCTTTATGTGAGAGAGATATCTCTTTTACTTAGAGAGATATCTTTATAAGCTAGAGAGATATCTCTTTAAGCGAGAGAGATATCTCTTAAAGTTAGAGAGATATCTCTTATCGAGGTCAAAAAAGATATCTTTCTTAGTTACAGAGATATCTGTAGATTTTCAGAAAGAGATATCTTTATAAGCTAAAGAGATATATCTTTTTCCAGTGATGCTTAAAATGGAATAATTAATTCTCCACTTTAAAACAAAAGTGAAACAGGAAGTAAAGTCTCTGGAATAGTTTCGATGTTATAAGAAAAAAGACTGAGCAATTAGCAATTACCCAGAATAATACATGTACTGTAGACAAAAATGCTATAAATCCTTTACTTGAAACAAAAAATAATAATGGTAACTTCGTTGATAAAAATGCTTAAAGTTTAATATTCAGGAAAACGAAAGCATACATGTATATATAATCTCAAATGCAATGGACCGAATTTTCTCAGCTTATGAAATAATCAACTATTTCTAATTTGAGTATCCGTCAATATACTTCCGGTAAGGGAGAAGTCATTTTGGAAACATGAAGAGAGATATCTCTTTTTGAGAATAGACACGTTTAAAAGATATCTTTTCACTTTAAGAGATATCTCTTAAGATAAATGAAAGATATCTCTTTTACTTAAAATAAAGATATCTCTTTCTCCAAAAGTAAAAGAGATATTGTGAAAGAGATATCTCTTTAACGTTTAAATCTCTTTTACGTAAGAGATATCTCTAAAGGAGAAAGAGATATCTTTACAAGTGGAAGAAATATCTCTCTAATAAAAAGAGATATCTCTCTAAGTATAAGAGATATCTCTCCAAGTTTAACAGATATCTCTTTCTCATAGAGATATCTCTTTAAAATGAGAGATATCTAGGTATCTTATTTTTTAAGAGATATCTCCCTAAAATGAGAGATATCTCTGTAATTTTAAGATAAATTTTATTTTCCGAATAAATAGTAAAAGGGCTTGCCATAAAAAAGTGTTAAATCCAATTACCATCTTTTAAAAAAAGTTAGCAGATGAACTATAATTCTTTTCTATATATGTTGTAATTAAATAGATATTATATCTATATATTTATTTGATATAAAATGTTTTTCAATGAAATATTTATGTCTATTTGTGAAAATGAAATTTTAGTAATGATAAATAACCATGTGTAAATTTTTGTAAATTGAATATTGACAAATATACCGATCCAGGGAGCTCCTGGCACCCCAGGTGAGGTATTAACCGAGGGCCTCTGAGAAAGTCTTGACTCAAACTTTGTTGTTTGTTATTGGAAATAAATGTATTTAAAAAAATCACGTGTAGACAATTTGACAAACAATAATACAGGAGGAACAATTAATGTTATATCAAAGATTTTGTTTATACACATATAAATGCAAATTCTATTTTCAAGATTAAACTAATAAATACTATATAAAACTATTTTTGAACATTAATTTTTATTTATTAAATATCAGTATAAGTAATGTTGCAATGCAATAAGATAATCCAGTATCTTCCCACAGATGAAAAATACTCTTTTATTAATATCTCATCATATGTGTCACTCAAAGACTTTTCATATCTTTGTCAATATACATGTATATGTATATTTAAGCATCTTCATTTTTAACATGTTTAATCACAAGTTAAACAAGAATCCTCAAATAAATACATATACTGAGTATTTGGGAAATTGAGGTAGCATATCTGATTAATAAAAGAGAAACGCTTGACTCATTTTAAAAGAGGGATTTTCAAAACTTCATAAATATTTATCAATTGCATGATTTCAAAATACCTGTGAATTAGATAACCAAAGAAAATGTTCTCCCATTATAATCATTATTTTATTGAATTTGGTACATAAATAAAAGAGGGAGGGAAAACCTGCATTCTTCCTATTGAAAGGGAATTAAAATGATTGGATAAAGAGTACCGCTTTATTAAAGCATAGAAAATGCACTCAAATATCACCATGAGAATAACGCACTATTTATTCAGTGTTACATTGTCATATTCTTCTTTGGAGATTTGTCTGAAGGCTTTTCTTCGGTTGTCCTGTCTACTGGTGTCTTTCAGGGGTTTCCCCGGCTTTGCCCCACGCTTATCTTTTACGTCACTGTTCCTGTTTACCTCAACTACTTTAACATAATCTGAACGTTGACCCTGCTTTAATGTCCCACAACACGTCCCTAGTTCTTCTGAAGAAGTTGATTCTTGTGACGAACCATTGTTTTGCTCCCCATCGCACTGGTTGTAATTTGTATGTTTTTGTCTAAATTTAGCTTTCAAATGTCTACAGTAACATGTAAACGACCTCCAGTAAACCTTCTCTAATTCTTCTGAAAGGCTAAGGTGGCCTTGTTTGAGTGATTCCACCATACATTCATATAATGAAGGGTTGGTCCTCAAAGCATCACAAAATTTCACCCATTGTTTCGTACAATCTTCACAGCTCAGAATACTTTCAGCAATTGTTGCTTCTATTAGCTTTTTCTGGTAGAAAGTGTCTATGATTTCATACACTTTCACATTAATTTTTATTCTGCACACAACACATTTCAATTTGACATCGTCGATATAACCTTCCTGTACTTTAACACTGTAAGCATCACGTAAACGTTTTGCAAGAAGTGGATATGCTTCTTCAAGAGAATTGATAAAATGCCTGAAACTTTGTACATCGCGATTTTGTAACCTAAACAAGAGAGCACGCGATTGGCTACTTCGATTATCCTCCCCCGCGCTGGAGCTCGTGTCGCGTATTGCCTCAGCTTCGCTGGACAGAAAAACTTTAGTTTCAACTAAATAGTCCAAGACATTCGTAGTGCGTAAATCAATGTCCATTAGAGCTTTATGTTCCTCTTTTAATACGTCTTTATGAACATCAATGTCAAGTGATGGTAGAACTATGTAAAAAAAAAAAAAAAAAAAAAGAAATATTATTTGCATGAAAAACACATCGTGAATATTAAATAGCTATAATTTTTTTCATAACTTCAAAGAAATTTTATCATCTTGCAGGATAAGCAGAATTGTACTTACGATCTGATAGAATAGACGTCCACGATCCTCCACTGCTACAGGAGGACACCGTGTTCGAAAGATCAGGATGTCGCGAGAACTTGTTTGTAGATATTGTATGAAGCCGAATTTCACTTTGGAGATCGCTTACTTGGACTTGGAGTTCTTGAAGTTTAAGTAAAACTTGATTGAGGGTGTTTTCCGACTGTGACAAATTGAAAGGAGAAGAAAACCTCAATTTTTAATTTTTGATATTTTTTCTATTAAAATACGTATGGAAATTAAAAATAAATTAATGTTACCTCTACATCTTTGGTTCCCATTTAAAATGCTCACATAGACATGTACACTGTGGTAACATTTGATTCTGCAAGGGTGACGACGTCTTCCTAAATGTAAAACAGGATGTTTACAGGTGTGTTTTCCCATCTGTTTTCGATTTTACGGAGGGAGATACCGTGGGTATTTTAAATCAGCGTGACAGTGCACATAAAATCAGGGACACCTAGCTCTTGTAACACCAAATTTTCCATATCTTTATTTTAGAGCAAATATGCAGAAGTATTATTAAGTGCAACGAAATTATCAAACCTGATAGTAAGTAATAAAGGCCATAAATGACATTATACTATAAATCTAGAGTCGGGTTAATAAAACATCTTGTCGTTAGACTCTCTTGACCGATAAAGTGGTTTATATACCGTATACATATTGCGGATTTCTTGGCGGATGTAAAATTTGGCGTTGCCTATGCTAATAATTTTTGCGTAAATTTAGCGGATTTTTGCATATGAACACTAAGAGTAATGAATATTTTAGTGATCAGCGGGCTACCATTAAAACGCCAAAATAAGCGAAAATTAGCACCCCGCTAAAATAAGTCGCTATGCAGAAAAAAATCATTGTGACTTGTGCAAAAACGTCTGGTTGATCCTTCAACTTTGAAGTTCAAATGCGGCATCCGAATCATGTTATATTTCCCAATCATAATAAGGAGCACAGCGCGTGTGACCGTTCGACAGGAGATGCTCACTCCTCCATGGCACCTGATCCCACCTCTGATGATTCATAGTTTATTTCGTTTATTTTTTCCCATAAAGGTTCTGCATTAAACGCAACGATGTTATGTCACATTCATTAATATCAGTGCATTTCAGTATGTGAGGGGAAACTTTGTTAGCATTCCACTGAAAACTTGCAAACAAGGAAGACTTTTAAAGCTATAAATCAGTTTTTATATCTTTTAAATCTGAAATAAGACACTGTAATGTTTTTGTGATATTTATTCTGCACTGAATAACATTAGAGATGTGTTATCCATATTTATTAAGAGACAACAAACAGAAATAAAGCTCAAACCTTTAAATTCTTACTTCTATTGCTCCAAAATTAAAATGATCTTGATGCTGAACGTGATGTTCTTGCTTAATATATTTAACATTACACAGAATCTCGAGAAAAGTTTTAAAAATCTGAAAAAACCTTTAACATGTAAAATGAAATATAAAGGACATACAGAGTAGGCAGGCAACGGGAAATCGTATTGCACAATTAGTTGTAGATTCATTTTAATCAGACACCCTCGATCAAATTGGGCTAGAATCAGGGGAAGATTTTACGAAATGTGCGTTCACTATAACAGGGGAAACTGGACATGTTATAGTGATACTGAATCTTTACCCTAATAATTCACTTTTGATTGTTTGAATATATGTGAAGTCTGCAAGGATTAAGATGGAACCACAATTTAGGGTCATGTTTTTTATTTGAATAAAAGCGTGACACTCTTTTAAAATCTGATGAAAATGAAACAACAACAACGGCATTGTTGCCACAAGTATCATCTACGAGAACGTTGAGGTCCATGAGCCTCTTGTTACCTTTGCTTCGCTTTCAAATATTGAGCAAATGCATAAGATTTTCCTCTGGTGTTTTCATCAAATCATTATGACAAATCTAGAAATTCACAAATTAAACAATACAAAATTTGAGTAGAGCAAACACGGTACTTCAAAATATCAGAAGTGGGATCAGGTGCCATTTGGGAGTGAGCATATCCCCTGCCCATCGGTCACACCCGCCGTGTGCTCCTTGGCATGATCGGGAAATATCGGAAAATTCGTCGACAATTCAGTGTGTAAAATAATGTCCTAACAATTAGTATGAAAAACGTCAGTCAGCATTTGACTCAATGATAAATTGTATTTGCTAACAAGATCATTACTAGTATATCGACCAAAGAACTTACTAAAATGATGACTTTAAACGAGACTGCTGATATTCTTGTTTCAGCAACCTGTTTGTCATTAATTTACCTCGTTTTAGAAAGTGTTCATACGTAGAGCATGCTCTTGCGTATCGAATCAACTGAGAGAAGTTAACGTCATCACGTTTATCATAAAGCATGGTTGTTAGATTACAATTAATTTTGTCTCTTTCAAGTAAAATATCTAAATATGAAACAGATGTGTCAGACTCTGTGGTATCTTTTATTTCAAGCTCACTGCGATACATGGCGATATATCGTATCAACATAAGAATGGAAATAACCATTCTAGATTGACAATCGTCGATATACATGTATCTGCATGTAAATGTCAAGCTGAAGGCGACAGCAAGTGGTTCTTCTTTTCACGTATAAGATTTTGGACAAATAATAACAGGGTGGAATTGGTACCCATGGGAATTCCAATAGATTGTAGGAAAACCTGGTCTATAATAACCACATAGATATTGTCAATCAAAAACTCAAACACATGTTAATGTCAACTTCAGAGAACTTGTGTCTACAATCAGAATGGTTTTAACAAGATAATTTTGCTAATGACCAATGATAAGGTAAGTAAATTTACGAGTTCCATTTTTATTGAAAAAACAGTTTGTCAATGATATAAAAAAAAAAAATTGTGGGGAATAAAGTGAAAAGTGGTAAGTTTTATGTTATTAATTTTGGTAAAATTTTGTGAGTTCGAATTTTCAAATAGTTCCTTGGAATTTCTAAGTATCAACATCTGATTTACTGCGTAAGCTCAATGCATGCTGATTTAGCCTCTTTCCCTGGCCATCCCATAAGAGAAACGGGTAAATGGTGGGGTTTTTTTCCAATGCAGACTAATGTCTGTACCTATTATATTTGTTAAAAAATTATTTTAAAATTTTCTGATATTTAATGACAAGACTTTCAAATATCCCTTTGACGTAGAGTTACTTTTATATCGGTTTGTCATCGTATACTACTGAGTTAAAGTTAGATTTAAAACAATGTAACCAATATTGATAAAGATCTTAATTAATAAGTAAACATGTTTACAAGTATGTTAAACTTGGGCGGAAATTAGGATCTATTTTTATGATATAAATAATATATTGGAAGTTTCTGCTTTCGAATAAATTATAATCTTGCACACGACCATTGACTTACATTAATAAATACTTTTGACAACTTTTAAAATTCTTTTTAAAAATGACAATTGATTATTTAGAGAATTATTTGAATTATTTGCTTAGTATAATTTGTAACCAATTACTAAAACATTTCATAACGTAACTGAAATAAAAATTTTATAAAAATCTTAAATTAAGGAACAACAACGTTAACTCGCAACAAGTTTATAAGGAACCGGACTTCCATGTACGACATGTAAAAGATGTTCAAACAAGTTAAGTTGTAAGCCAACAAAGCTGTCACCACTCAATGAAATGTACATTTATTTTAAAAACATTTTAATGAAATCGTCACGTGAATTATGCGTCAAGTATCGTATAAATACACAATTTTTAAAAAGAATTACTTTTTTTTCATATGCAGAGATAAGAACTTTGTAAAAATAACAGAACAAACTACATGTAAATCCAAGGCAATTTATACGTTTGAAGAAATACACAGATGTTGAGTAAAAAGGGTAATGTAACCGTCTTCCAGCTTCTGTTGCAATAGAAGCATATGTAAGGGTTCGTATAAATACAGCAAACTTGCTTGGTATCATATTTTTTATGACCCCTTTAAGCTTATGGTATTTATTTGTATGTTGTAATATCCCCTCGCCCATTGATATGTTAATAATCATATGATCATGATGGGGAACATCTCATTGACTTTCTGTTTGAAAATTTTCATCCTTCATCAAAAACTGTCTTTATGGGTGTTTGTTTCTTTATTGCTCATTCGGTTATCTTCAATGTCTAGCTTTCTTCACATTTCAGCTTGGATTCCCTTTTCTTTATCGCTTGTCTATGAAATTTTTCTCTAAATCCGGATTCACTGAATCTGCTCACAAATTCCATAGAAGCAGTTTGTTGTTGTTCGCGTTCAGTTGCGTCGACGTCTATGTCAGATAGGACTTTACTTACACCCAGTTCGATGGAAACATCGCTATGTTCAACTGGGGATTGGGGAACTGTTTCTATTTTGGTTGATTCTTCACGCTTTCGTTTTGCAGATAACCGTTTACAAAAACAGTTAAATTTTGGCATGTCTTTAACTTTGATTAGCTCCTCTGACAAACTTTTGTACTTTGGCAAAAGTGAATCTGCTAGTGTCATAATGGCGTCTACATTTTTAATATAAGGCTTCAGTTGTTCCCAGCCCGTCCTAAGATCCCCACATTGGTTGATGTCTCTCATTGTCTTTGATTGTATGAACTTTTGGCTGTAAAATTTGTCTATGACATCACGTGGGTGAACGTTTTCTATAATTTTACACACAGTACATGTTAGACGTCCATTTTTCTTCTCTTTGTACATTATACTTAATGATCTTTTTAACGATTTGTGAAGATGGTTGTGGTCACTTTCTAAAGCATCAACAAAACTGAGAAATGGGCCGTGACCGCGCTGTTCTAACAGTAACAGAAGGCTTCTGGTTTGATCTTTCTTTCCCCCTCCCCTCCTCTTTATTTCCTCTGCATCGCTCGCCGTAATGGCGTCATCTGCAATTAACTTGTCGAGGACATCTGTACTGTTTGGATCGAAGTCTTTCAAAATATTTTCATGTTCTTGAATAAGAACCTCTTTGTATACATTGGCACATGCACTTGGAAGATCTGCAATCACAAACTAAATATGCTTATCATATATTGAAACAAAGAACACGTCCATTGAAAAATGAATGGGACACTTATCTATAGTATTTTATTTTACATACCGGTATTTTGGTAGAAAATTTACCTTCAATTGGTATGTGGAAGGATCCATCACTGCTACTGCTACTGTATAGAGAATCTTCACTACAACAAACCGCAGCAAACCTCCTTAGACGGGGCTTGCTGGGTCCACTCGTCAAGGTCTTGGCAGTTTGTTTAACGACTCTATTTAAATTTCTCTGTTCATCATCAAACAACTGTTCGATATTTGAGACTCGCCTCGTGAGAACATCAAGTTTTTCATTGGTGGTTTGAAGCTGGCTCGAAAATTTTTCCTCCAACTTTTGAAATTGCTCATCAAGTAGATACTGGAATATATATTATTGTTTTAAGTGTGAAGAAAGTGTAATTTGGAGAAAAAAGATTTTTCTTGAAACACTATAGGAATGATTTATTCTTTATATTCTTTACGTTCAAGCCCTGTATCAATAAATGGTTAAAAAGATGCTTTTGAAATGAATGAATGTTGTTTTATTTTGTTATTGGAATGTTGAAACTTGAGAGAGAGAGAGAGAAAGATAGAGAGAGAGATTTGTACCCCCGTTCTCGAAGATTGGGGTACATATTTTTCTTTGATTTTTGAACAAGAGACTCTTCCTTAAGTATTTAACCTTATCTTAACTCGTTAGTGGCTATATTTCACATATGTATTTCTTTTGGTAAGACTTTCTGTTTGCCAGAGTTAACTTATTAACCCTCGCCTTAGAGATTTACCTGCTTTTGAAAAACTTTGACCATAACTTCTTGTGACAAGACATATTCCTTTGTTTAAGCTTTTTTTATATGTTGACCTTTTAATTTGACTCGTATTCGAGCCATACGGGGACATCAGTGTTGCATAAACACACTAGTTTAAAATAATGAAAAAAGTTTTCTCGATGCATATTTACGCAGAGTATGCACTAAACCCTATGTAAACATTGTCATTCCATGCGATGATATATTAATTGAACATATTTACCAAGAAGGCGTTATCCCTACTTGTTCCTGGTTATAGCTCTAATCAGTCAAACTACTCCTGTTGACATGTTTATATAAGGTGCAGATATAAAATTAAGGAAATTTTTAAAGATGTTTAACTTAATACATCTAAAAATATAAAAATCGGAGACTTTTCATTTAAATATTTATTTATTTATCGTTCGTTTAAATCTCCTTTTGATTTATTACCATTTAAAATGTATGAGGGTATTTCATATATGTAGACTACCATAAATTCTAGGCCCCAAAGTATTGTAAGAAAAATACAAGTACTTTTTATTACTTTTACACAAGACAGGTGAAAAGTTCATTCATAATTTCAGAAGGGCAATTACTATTTATCACTGGAAACAATTTATTACCAAAAGAAATCAAGTCATCCAATACCTTTAGCTTTTCTACAATATCCCCTGGTCCTTCTTCAAAACTGTAAGAAAGAACACATTTTTATTTAAGAAAACAAATCCAAAACTTATTTAAAAGTACATATTAAAATTTATTTTCTGTACAGTAATGCAGCAAAGGCTAGTTCAAATTCAATTTTTTAGATTAATGAAGAAGAATATAATACAACTAGAGCAAAGCTCGTTGCAAAGCAACGAGTAGGTCTTCCGTCCTGTTTTGACCGGAAGTGACGTCAACAAAAGAAAGCAATGAGCTTAGTCGTCTCCAGTCACTTTATAATTTCAATTTTGTATCAAAACCTTAAAAAATAAGCTATTTTTGGCTACTTCCGGTTTGACCGGAAGTGATGTCGACGGACGGAAAATTAGGTTTTATGCTCCCAGTGACATATGTTACCCAAAAACTTGTCAAGAACGGCAAAAATATGCATTTTCTGACTACTTCCGGTTTGACCGGAAGTGACGTCGCTGGACGCATTTTGACGACTTCAATAGATTAAGCTTGACATTTTGAACAACTTTGCTTCTTGGATGTATTACAAATTCTCAATACTTTTTGAGATATCTGGAAAAAACTTTTGGCCCCTCTAGATCCCTTAATTTAGGGGTAAGCCCTTTTTTCGAGATATTATTTGAAAGATCTTGTGATGCTGCACAAATTTTGTTCTACATATTTTAACAAAATATTTTTAGTTTAGAAGATAAAAAGCAAAATATGTGTAAATTTTCGCTCTTTTAGGCGTTCTAATTTTTGACCCCTATATAGCATCATTTTGAATAGAGAAATCGAAAACAAAAACAGCTATGCACAACTTCAATCCTTCTATTATCTAAAATCAGTAGAATTTCTGCTCCAGCTTTAGCCGTCTCTGAGCCTTTGTCTGGAAACGAAAGCCTATAAATTTTCGTTTAAAGGGAAATAACTCAAAACCGGAAGTGACTTTTTGAAATTTTAGATAGCATTCTGAAAGAGTTTAGTAAAGTCTATAAACTCTGAAAATTTGAGCAAAATCCATTGAGAAATGAGTGAAATATGAGGCCTCAAAGTCGGCGTCTAGGAAAAGGAAAAAAAAAGAATAATAAGAATAATCTTAATCATCAGAATCAGTAGAAGGTCTTCCGTTGGAAACGGAAGACCTTAATAATCAATAAAGTGATCGGTCGGCAGGGGATGGTTTCTACTTCATTGCACCTGATCCCATTTCATGATGTTTTGGAGATCCGTGTTTGCTTTGCTCCTATTTTGTATTGTTTTATGGACTTTTGAGCTTAAATACTGTTCGTTATCTTCATATATTTCAATCAACTTTGTGAAGAGAACTTTCAATTGCAAGGATTTCAGATAACAAATTATTTTACATGTGAAAAAACAAATTAGGGTGCTAATTACAATTTACCTTCTTTACAGCAACAGCAAAGATTTGTGGAATCTAAAGGTTTTGATTAACTAATAGAAATGTATAAAACTTTTATATATTTCTATTAATTAATCAAGATAAAAGGTAACTCCATTTTAAAAAGTATGGATGATTTTCAGTAAATCATTGCTGTGAGTAAGTAAATGATTCATTTGGTATAATACACATGGCATGTATACTGTTAAAGACTTTCTGTAAGTTAAATGCCAAGTGCATGCAAGAATTACTAGTATGTGATGTATCAGGGAAAGTTTGCTGTTAATTAAAAAAAATTAATCTAATATACTGTCAACATTTTATGTGTCAAAGACAGTTGGGTAAAGGCTAAAACTGTTTAAAAGAATATGAGATGCTATGTAGCACAAACTGACCCTCATCTTATACTCTTTTTAATATCTGTCTATCAAATCCTCCCCCTACGTACCGTCTTGTTTGAATTTTTATTGGCAAAAACAAAAAAAAATATGCAAGAATATAGATGATAAAAAAATAATAATTTAGCGGCAACTCAATTTGCATTCTTTAGAATTATATTGACATTTTTTACTATTTAATTTTCAAAATAAATGAACATTTTTCATTGCAACATCATTTTGCATTTGAAATCTTCAATAAATACATAAAAAATAAAATTTCTTCAAAAAAAAAATCAAATAAGATTTGTACCTGTAATATTTAAATTTACAGTTTCATTATTTTTTTAAGAAACAGAAAAATACGATGAGAATTATAACTAGGGTTAAATCAACTTCTGACATGAATAAAAGTTATTAAAGATTTTCTCCGTCTATGGAAGCAGGTATTAACTGTGTATATTTATCTGTTATCAGTTGATTCATAACTTAACAAGTTTACAAAGGAAACAATTCTTATTGGTGAACTATTTGTCTACTTTTCTTATTTATAAAAGAGACAAAATGATACATGCAAGTACTATGCATTTTTCAGTATCCGTTTTATTAAATTAAATAGGGCATTCTGTCACAAGGCTACATGTCGCTTGAGTGCCCATGAAGTAACCATTGAACAATAAATACATTGAACAACGCCCATTTCTTTAGAAACGAGAAAGGAATAAATAACACACTTCCCGCGACAAGCAACATGAGTTACATTGAAATTAAGAGTATACATTGTTCTTATTACAATTGGAAGCATAATTATGATTTTATCATGTTTATTGGAGTTAGCAACAACATCGAACATGCTTACCTATGACTCTGACCTCCAGGTATTGATCATTTTTTTTTTTGAAGTTGTTTTTCCAAACAGAAAATGTTACCACTTCAATGCGCTTCATTGTAACAATGTCTGCGGTATACATTGTCTTACAATGGAGCTACAGCAAAACATATCCATTGACTCTGACCTCCTGAGATTTTTTTTTTGAAGTTGTTTTTGAAAATAAGTTTATACACTGTAAAGATTTAAATGCAAGTAGTCTCTAAAACTTTAAAGCGCCCTCATTGTGATCTTATTTGAGATAGGGTATCTATAAATATAACATGTCAGTTTTATATACGTTTACTTTAATCAGTTCTTTATTTTAAATGAACCTTTCTCGAGACAGATTCATTATATTTTATCTTAATTTAAATCTAAACATGGCAACTTACCCCGAATCTGACTTCTGCAGACCTGCCATGTTACCGCGATACAGGACGGGTATTTCCAGATTGCTTGTTTAACGCATTATCATGCACCTTTTATTTACATTTTGAAGCGGGACGATTCAAACTATTATTTTACTTAAAAGGGGGTGGCTTTTTATTCAGTAATTTACAAAATGTTGTCAAAACAAATGGATTCATTTTATTATACCCCTGCTTGAAAAGAGGGGCGGTACATAGTGATCGGAATGTCCGTCCGTCGGTTCGTCCGTCTGTTACGCGTTGGGGTACCCATCTCTTATCTGCAACTCCTCTTTTACCACAGAATGAATCTAATGAGATTTTCACAGAATTTTCGTTATACAGAATACCATATTGAACCTCTTATTTTACTTTTTGGTCTGACACCTGTTTTAGGTTTCTTAGAGCAAAACATTGACACTGCCATCCTTTCTATTATATTGAAGGGTACCCATCTCATATCCGCAACTCCTGCTATACCACCAAATAAAATTTAATGATACTTTCACAGATTCTTAATTACATAATTGTGCACCTTCTATCATTTTTTGATCTGACACTTATTTCGGGTCTCTCGGAGCAAAACATGGAATTTACATCATACCCCGGTAACTATATGGGAGGCGGGGTATCATAATGTGAGTTCATTGCTCACAGTACTCCTAGTTCTTAATTTTGGATCCTTCAATCTATACATATACAGTGCAAATATGAAATGTTTTTGTGTCAAATTAAGAATACATTTAATGATAGTAATATTGTTTGAATTCAGATTTACCTATTTTTGTTTCTTTAGCAAGTATTGTTTTCCCCTTTCAAATTTTGATCAAAAAAGAGGGAAAATAAAAATATGTATCAAATCATCCCCTACCGTCCTGTTTGAATTTTTATTGGAAAAAATATCGATTGCAAGAATATAGATGAAAAAGAGTTAAGCTGGAGATAATAATATAGCAGCAACTCAATTTGCATTCTTAACAGTTATATTGGCTTTTTTAGAATGAAACGTATGGAGATAACAGTATTCAAGTTCAAATGTCCATAAAACAATACAAAATAGGAGCAAAGCAAATACGGACCTCAAAAGCATCATTGGTTGGACCAGGTTCCATGAAGGAGTGAGCATCCCCCTGCTGACCGGTCCCACCCGTCGTGTGTTCCTTGTCATGATCGGGAAATAATGAAAAAATCCGTCGTCAATTCAGTGTGTACTTAATGGCCTAAGAATTAGTATGAAAAATGTCAGTCAGCATTTGACCTAATGATAAATTGTATTTGCTAGAAAGTCATTGTATCGACCATAGAACTTACAAAATAATTTAAACGAGACTGCTGATATTCTTGTTTAAGCAACTTGTTTGTCAATATTTTACCTCGTTTTAAGGGGGCCGACTATAGTTTTATTGTGTGAAAACTACAAATAGCGAAACTCTTCATTTTTATACCATTTATAACTTACATTAACTTCAGTGTACATGCAAAGTTTGGGGGAAATCTACCGTCCAGGTATTTTGAGGGACCGTCTCAAAATACAGGTTCATTTACTATAGGATTATACTGTAAAACGAGAATATTTGGCGCACTACTAATTTTAGCGCCTTTGGCGCAAGAACCCCTGAGCGCTAAAATTTATTGTGCGCTAAAGGATTTCTAAATATCATTTTTTTTTTTGTTCAAAGCTTTTACATAAGTACATGTAAACCGGAACGCGCGATTACGTAATGTCAAAGGTTCAATGGATTTTATAAACACACTAGCACTGTACATGGTAGGATTAATCGAGAAAGTTCTGCCAAATTATAATTTAATTAAACTATTGTTACCCCGGTAGTTGTTACCCAATTCTCGTCATTAGCACCTTCAAAGTTTGGCTTCTCGGCGTGTCAATCATCTATCGCCTTGAGGTAAACAATGATCAAGCATGGCGATTGAGCTAGCAGACAACACCTGATTAGGATTACCGTTTTATCGAAGTAATTATCTGTCGATGCATGCATTGTTTTAATATGATTTAAATGAGAAAATACTCAATTTCTTTTAATTGAAAATAGAAATAAAATAAATTTTTATATTGTGCCACGTCCATGTGATAGCAACACGTACCGCGGTAAAGTTAACTAACGAATGTTAACTGATATACGGGAGTACTAATGTGTTTCCGTGCTTGACTAACAAAAAAATCAAATACGGGTGTGGATAAAAAAACAAAATATCACATTTATATATTTTACTGACAAGTGCAAGCGCTAAATTTATTTTATGACATTCCCACTTGCGTTTGCGCTAAAATACGTATGCGCCAAATTTTCTCGTTTTACAGTATAGGAAAATGCCAATTTTTAGCACTTTAAAGTAAATTATACAAATACTACAATAAACATTTTGTTCAAACTATAATATTTGATGAGTAATACTATATTATACAATATATGTAAAAAACACAATATTCTACCGTCTTGTTACCAGAGGGGGCATCTCAAAATGCAAAAAATTAGCAAATTTTACTATTTTTATATATATTAAAAATATGAAGTAAACAATGGTATTTTACTTATATCATTGTTCAAATACAACTATTTTTCAAAGTGCTAATTGGAGGTCTTTGATAGCAAATGCTTAATTAAAAATACATATCTCAAACTTGCTTTCAAACTTTCAAGATGACAAGTATCATTTTTAACCATCAGCCTTCCTTCATTAAAACGATTAATCCAATCATTAATTGAATTTATAGGAACTCATTTATCTCAATAAACTGTGTACAAATTATGTATTTGATACTGAAGAGGGATTTCTAAGATATTACAATAAACGTTTGTTGAACGAGTTCGACTGAGACAACCATTTTTCGTCACAAGTTTGACGTCATTTTTCACAAACAAGGAAAGAAACTTTTTCAATAATATTTTTATTACCCGAATTTTTTTGAAGAGGTACAGATTATATAACGTCAAAAACACACTGCAAACGTCAAAAACACACTACCTATCAATTGCAAAATCGGTTAAAAAATCAGTAATATCAAATTGTAATTACATTTTTATACCTATAATTTCTTAATTTTGTTTAATTTTAATAATTAAGCGAAAAAAGTTGCATTAAAACAGTAAATACGCTTCATTTTACTATGATGCGCGAAATATTGCAATGGAAACTATAGTCGGCCCCCTTAAAAATTGTAGATCATGCTTTTGCGTATCGAAACAGCCGAGATATATAAATCCTGTATGCAGGTGATGACGGTATATTGATGCATAAGTGAGGGAAGTTGACAATTAAAAAGTTAAAACCATCTCGTTTGTCATGAAGCTTGGTTGTTAGATTACCATTTACGCCCTTTTCAAGTGAAATATCCAAATGCGAAACAGATGTGTCAGACTCTGAGGCATCTTTTATTTCAAGCTCAACGGGAAATATCGTATCGACATAAGAATGGAGATAGCCATTGTTAATTGACAATACGTCGTTGATATATACAAATGTCGAGTTGTACATTTCACTTATAAGATTCTATACAAACTCTGCTTCATATGAATACAAAAATAGGTCTGCTAATAACGGGGCGCAATTAGTACCCATTAGAATTCCAATATACCGTTGGAAATCCTGGTCTCCAAAAACCACAAAGATACATGTATTGTCAATCAGAAACTCGAGCATCTATTTATTATCAAGATCAGAGTACTTGTATGTACAATCAGAATGTTTTACTATGCAAAAAAAAAAACCAATAAACTAATTGTGTGCAAGAATATAGATTTATAATAAAGTTAAGCAGAAGATTAAAATTTAGCGGCAACTAAATTTGAATTCTTAACAATTATATCGACATATTTTACTATAAAATTTTCTAAAACATTGATCATTTTTTATTTCGACATCAATTTGCTTTTGAAATCTTTAGGAAATGCATAAAAAATACATGTAAATTTATTATAGTTCTGTACTTGTAAGATTTAAAAATACCGTTTTATTATTTTCTAAAGGAACGGGAAAACATATGAAAAAAGATGAGAATATTAAGCTTATATCTGCTTCTTGTATTATTATATTAGTCATTTTTTTCCCTCTATCGAAGCATATGTATTTACTGTGTCTATTTCATGACATAATTATCTGTGCAATTTTTGGTATCCTTTATATTAAAATTAAATAGGGCATTCGATCAAAAGGCTGTATGTCGCTTGAATGCCCATGAAGTAACCATTGAACAATAAGTAACAATGTCTCTGGTTTGTCTTTCCAAAGCAGCTACATCAAACCATGTTCTTTGAATTTCAATTGACCTGCTGAATTATTTTTATTCATTTTAAAAATCATTTTATACACTAAAGATTTAAAAGCAAGCAGTCTTTAAAACTGGCCGACGCCCTCAGTTTGATCTTACCTGAGGTAGAGCATATATAAATGTAAGATATCAATTTTACTTACATTTACTTTTATTTAATCAGTTCTTTATTTTGATTGAACCTTTCTCGAGACAGATTCATTATATTTTATCTTAATTTAAATCTAAACTTGGTAGCTTACCCAGAATCTGCCTTCTGCAGACCTGCCATGCTCCAGCGACGCAGGCCAGGTATTTGCAGACTGCTTGTTTAACGCATTATCACCTTGTACTTATTTTCTGAAGCGGGACGATTCAAACTATTATTTTACTTAGAGGGATTTGAAGTAATTCGCCATACATTGAAGCCTTGATAGCTTGGTAGTAAATTTAAGTCTGAACAAACACAATAATTAATATACACACAAAAAATCAAAGTCTTAGACTTATTAAAATCAGCGGCTTTTTCAATATAAATGGAGCGTTGGAAATATTCAAAACAATTTTGTACGGAAACATTATGGCTTTACAAACAGGTACTTAAAGTTGATACTAAAATGACGCTTAAGCTCGGGGTCATCAATATCTACATGTACATGTATCATGTATGTATTTTTTTAACTGCAGAACTCTAGCGATATGGTTGTATATATTATTCTTTGAACAAAGCGCTACAGATCCCGTAATGCAAATAATGTGTAATTTAAG